CAAACCTTTAATGGATTGGTATTTTTGCTATATTTTTGTGTTGTTTATGTCAGTTTGACAAATATGTAAATAATTTAACCATTTTGTTTTATTGATCATATTAGTAATGGGTAAATGTTCCAAATTACTGACACAGAGCATGAGTTTCTAATTTTCCCACTCTGCTGAAAAGCTATCATCTACCGTTCTGCCAGTCTTTTCTTTTTTTTTTTTTTTTTTAATTCAGGATTCTTCTAAGAATCACAATTATAGTAATTCATCATCTTGTAAATATAATTTTTAATTGTTTTCTAAAAATAACTTTTGTTTTTACTCATTGTATTCAAATGAGTATGCGTTTGCATTTTTACTCATAGAAACTTACAGTGATATTCCTAGGATGCTAGAAATCACAAACCAGCTAAGCAGATGTGATTTTCTGCACTAGAAAAACCTTAGATGTATGTGTCAGCAACCAACTTTTTGTAATATATTTAGCTAAAAAATGACTTGATACCAGATTGGTATGAACCATGCAAGCATCATAATATTGTATAGTAACTGTGCTTCATTTTCTCATTTAGATTTCAGTTACAGCATAAATATATTTTCTCCCTTTTGGTCACTTCCTGAGATGAAACACTGAGTCCAAGCATGATTTAGTAATTTGCCCAATACTGTAGTTTGCCTAGTACAGGAAGGAGTTAGTACTAATCCCTCATTTCTGGATACTGGTTAATCCACTTGCGAAAAGCATTTTGTTCCTTGCATTTTGGTCCATATTTCAACTTAATTTTAAGGAACTAATCTCATAAATCATTTCATGTGAATTTATATGTAATATTCTGACCAGAATTCTTTATTATATTTTATTTGTTTAATTTAACTTCTACCTGAGCATCATAATGATTCATCCTTTTCTATAACTATATCATCTATAGACACAAAAAATTTCTTCTGGGAAAAGAAAATCAGACCTAAAACCCAGATTATACTATTTGCAAAATGGGAAACAATAAAAGATAGTGACAAAATCTTGGACTATTTTAAGACAGATTTTATGTAAGTTACAGTAACCAGGGGGCAGTAAATTTGATGCATTGATGCTAACGTACCAAACTAGTGTAGCAATTACAGTTCTATTTAGTAATAGCACATAAATGCTGAAGTAGAAACTAACAACTATAAACAAAATTTATGCTCACTTGCACAGCTCATGTTGTGCCATCTCCGACAAGAAAACATATTTAGAGATTGTAGGCATAAATTGTTTTTACGTCAGTGGATACATACTAACCTCAAAGTGTTTGCTCCAGAAAAATGAAAATTTTAAGTGTATGTCAAAAATACACTTATTTACACTTTTCTACTCTAAATATTTTGCATTTGTTTTTCTCAGCAGAGGGATTCATGTCAATAACTCTACTCTCGTAGTATGATAATTAACAGCATGTGTCTGACATTCAAATTTCTCTGGGTACCAGAAAGCTTTAAAAAAAAAATAATTCCAACTTGGTGATAAATGGTTGATAATGTAAGAAACAGTGACCTGGAAAGCACATGCCTCAGCTGAAAGCCCAGCCACATTGTCTCAGCCAGATCATGCTGTCTTTGAACATGAAACCTGTATTGTCAGACATTCATTTTTAAAAGCAGGGGGAAATTCTGATTTTTGTCCATGTTTACAAATCCAAAATTTTAAAATCATTGCATAAATCAATCAAAATATTTCATTTGTCACAGCTGGTATTAGCATGTAGGCTGCTAGGCCAGGTATGAGCTTATAGAAGTGATCACAATACCCCTTAATAATACCGCTGTCTGTTCAAAAAGTACTTCTTATTTCTGAGTAGTTCATAGAATATTCTTATTATATCTACTGGGGGAAAGATTCATCACTGATAGGGAGCTGTCATTTGTATCCATGCATTTTTTTTCTATCCAGTCTTCAATGATATAATTATTCCCTCCAGCACAAGGCTACTATGCATTAACTAAAGTTTGATGCCGCAAACATGTTGTCATATAAAATGCTGATTCCTTGGACTTAATGGAAAGAACACGGATTATTTACTTTTATGTTCTTTCTTTAGAAAATAAAGTGTTTTGCTCATTATTTTACCACGAATACCTAGAACAGTCCTGGGAAAAAGAAGTTTGAATAGAATTAGTTGATTAATGAAAATGTTCTATTTTATCCATCCATACATTCGCTGTCCATTCAGTATATGAACTTTTATTTAGCATGAACTGTATGTCCAGCATATTATGAAACATTGCTATGTGTAAAGATCATTAACTAGAACTAGGAAACTATTTTTTTGAAAAAGTCAATGATCTTCAATTATATTCCACTAAGTATATCCTACATTTTAAAGAGGAATGCCAGATTTTGCATTTAATTCTTAGACTTTCAGAGAACACTTCACATTCTTTTATTAATTCTGCTTTCTAGAAAAGTGTAGTAAAATCAGATTATACTATATAATTTTAAATAAGTGACTGACTACTTCTTGGTTAATCAGACCTGTAACGTATTCTGTGACCCTTAAGCATGATTTTTCAACTTTATTGGATTAAGAAACACCTAATAAATTAATAGCCACACTCCTAGTTGTGTTTAGATGGGTCATGGAGGCATGACCTTGTATATTACGTATGATTTCTAGCTGGATTCTCTTTGGCACTGTTCCCTTCTCCTGCTTCCTGACCACTATGAACTAAGTTGCTTTGTTCAGCAGTTCCCTTCTCTCATGATGCTTCCTCTTCAGAGACAATTCAGCATGGACTGAATTCCTAAAACCATAACCAAATTAAACCTCTCCTCCCAGCGAGGGGACTGTAGCTAATACATATGCCAAATAATTCTGGAGGAAGGGAAAATTGTAGACTATATAGCTAGTATCAAAAAATACTAGTCAAGAGTTCATAAATTTGTACTTATTCTAGGTTTCATTAAGACTTAATAGTTTAGAAGTGTTTAACATATTGTAAAAAAAGTTAGCAATCTTAATTAGTACTCATGTTATACTGTTCTCACTTGATTATTCTTTGCTAACACATATTTTAAAATCATGTTTCAAAGCTAGTTTTGATTAGTCGCATAAGTATAAAGATAAAACTGAAGCTCCAACTTCAAATACATGTGTCTTTACAAAGAGATAGCTGCTCATACATTTATTTTTTCAGTAAGATGTTTAGCAGTTTTTCAACTGGTTGGTTATATCAATCCATCTCAAATTTATAGCAGAATTATATTCTGTAGAGAGAATAGAGATGGATAAACAAAATTATTAGGACCTCCAACTTTTCAATTTTGTGGGTCACCTATCTAATTTAACAAAAGTAATGCAGTGTGTTTTGTCAGATTTTTCTTTCTGGTACAAAATACTGATACTACAACTTTGAAAAGAGAGAGATTTATTTTACCTCAGTTTGTGAGATGTCAGCTCATGGTTGGCTGGCTCCAGGACCAACACATCATGGTAAAGAGTGTAACGGAGGAAACTGTTCACTTCACAACACCCAGGACGCAGGCAGCAGTTGGAAGCACACCCAACAAGGGGCCAGGAACCAGATAAGTCTGTAGGACCGCACCTCCATGACCTCTGTCCAAGCCCTACCTCTTAAAAGCCCATTCAGCTATCAATTACAAATGGGTTGACTCTTCCAATCCAATCACAACCCAGTCACTTCCACAGGAGTCCTTCTATCCAATCAAGTTGACAATCGCAATTAACCAGTACACTCTATATATGAAGATAAGGAGATGTCAGTATCATGATATGGCCTGTTTATAATTGCACTTATATGGTTTACTCAAAACCATATGCACTTAATATGGTTTACTCAAAATTTATATTACACATGACCCTAACAAAAAGGCTGAGATGTGGTGCTACTTATAATTTAGAACTGGTTATTTTTAGTGCACATGTATGGTATACTAGAGATTGAACGCAAGACATTTTCACTAACCTACATGCTCAGTCTTTCAATATCTTTAAACTTTTTTTTCCAATTCAGGGGATGGAACCCAGTTTCTTACTTACTAAATAGTGCTCTACAACGGAGCTATACTCCCAGTCTTTTATTGTTGTTTATGTTGTTCAGAGGCAGAACATCATCTCGCTAAGTTTCTAAAGGACCCAAGCTGTGTTCTAACTTGCAACACTGACTCAGACTCCTACAGTGCTAACATTATTGAAAAATACCACTCTACCTAGCTTAGTGTTATGTATTTAATTCAACTCTAGATGCATATTAATATTGGATGACCAATTTCAAGACAAGAATATCTTTCTGAAATATTAAGATGAGGCTTTGACACAAATTTTTTTTATGATTAAGAATTTATGTGTTCTATGTTGGTAGTATCATGGTGATCATGGCTGTCTTCCAAGCATTCACATGTTCTTTCTCATATGAAGTACATTAGTAGCATTTATTGCTTACTGAAGGTGGGAAGAATTATCTATGACCTAATCCCCATAATTTCTGAATGTGTTAAATTTTCTTACAAAGAGAAATTAATATTGCAAGCTAAATAAAGTTGCTCATCCACTGATTTTCCGACTGGAATATAATCCTGGATTGACTGAGTTGTTCCAGTGTAATCATGAAGGATTCTAAAATGGAAGAGGGAATCAGACAAATGACAGTTGGAAAATGTTCAGTGTGAAAAAGTGGGGGCCAGAAGAAAAGGAAGGAGAGCAGCCTAGAGTTACCAAAGACAAAGGAATGGGTCCTCCCTAAGATCCTCAGAATAAAACGAATAACCTCCTAACACTAATCAGCACCCAACGAGAACCATTCAGGGTTTCTGAACTACAGAAGTGTGAAATAAAATTATGCAGTTTCAAACAACTGAATTAGGAGTCTTTTGTCATGGCAACTAAGCAAACCGAGGAAGTTATTTTTCCCAAAAGTTTCTGTCACTGAAATTAATAAACCAGTTGAAAATTTCAAACTTAAGGCAGTTTTTTTTTAATCTGTTTATTTGTTTGCTTGCTTATTTTCAGGAGGTAATCCATAGCAGTCAAGAAATGAAAAGAAGTGAAGAAATTTCCAAAGCAAATGAGACTGATGTTCTTGAGAGAGAAATGGTAACTACTTAGAAAAACAATACTTTCCCAGTAGTTTTCAGAACTGTGTGCACATTCTAACTTATGGTCTTTCTATTTTATTGTCCTTTAAGTATTTACTGTCAATGCATACAACTGTTTCTTTCTCTACTTCTGAATCAAAATTTAACAAACAATAAAGCAGGCACTCAAAAAATATGACTATATTTCAAATACGTTTTATTATAATGAGTTCCTATATTAAAATAAATGATATAAGCTAAATTGACATCTCTCCATGTATTAGATGAAAATCACTGTAAAATGAAGATTATTATTTGTTGTACTCAAATCGCTGACTTCTTCGAAACAGCTGTTTAAATTTTCTTTAAACACAGGTCTCTCATCTTGAAAAGCACACAGAGCAAACAAACCAAGCTTCTCAGTTCAGTCAGTATGTCCAAGAAACAGGTAAGAGTCTAGTAACATTGGCCACATATCACTTTTCTCTCCGTGTTCCTGAGCTTGAATGAAGGACTTCCAAAGCCCAGTCTTTCCCAGCGAGTAACATTACCAACTCTAACTCATAGTTGCAAATGAGGAAGGCTAGTGTTCCTGCGTAGAAGTAGATTTTGCCAGGGATAATTAAATTCTGTACCTTTCTAAAGTAGCCCATTGCCCACTAGCCTATCAAATATGCATCCTAAAACCCCAACATGGCAAAGTAGTCACTTTGGTGTTTTTTAGGTTTTTTGTTTTGTTTTTAACCTCAGGAAGTTAAAGAAAATTTTGATGCTTATTAAGCTCTCTGAGAACACAATTACCTGGATTATATTAATTTCATAACAAATTTATGTACTAGTTTCCAGTTCTCCAACATGGAGATAGATTAGACTATGAGAAAAGTTCTATATTTTTGCAAGATTAAGCATAGTTATCTTGCTTATCAAAAATGAAAAAGCTCTGCTGCCCTGAAGATTTAATCGATCGCTAACCAAAACATTGTTTAAATGCCATAACTGTATCATTATTTTGTTCTGCATAAAGAAAGCCTTTGTCTATTCTTTTGTGTTTGTTTTATAATTTTTATTATTTTTGCCTGAACATAGAAATAGAATAGCTTATAGAAAATTTGGAAAGTACAGAGAAGCATTCATATTTTCCCCCATATTTCCTGCTACATTCTTAAATTACACAATAAAATAATGTTACAAGCATAAATTTTCCCCTTGAATTTTTTATATGTATTGGGGGAAGTTTCCCATAGCATCATAATTCAACTGAAGCATAATTTTTGTTCATTATATAATATCCCTGGTGTTTTCTTTGTTGTAGTCATTGACACACCTGATGATGAAGAGATGCCTAAGGTTTCAACTAAAATTTTAAAAGAGCAATTTGAAAAGTCTGCCCAGGAAAAGGTCCTCTACTCTGGCAAAGAGACAATGTACCCAGCTAAGGAGAGTAAGGTAATGTAATTTCTCTACATAGAAATGTATTAAGCATAAAATCAGACTTAAATGTGTAAACTCTTTCAATCAATAAACATTTGACCTTTTTTCAGCAACAACAGCAATCAAAAAAAAAAAAAAAATCCCGAACTATCATGTATTCTATTTCAAAAGGACCATTTTGATCTAAATAAGAAAAGAATTAGTATAATTTTTTTTCACTAGAGAAAATGAGGGAAAAAAAGATGTATACTGAGGAGTATGTAAACAGTAGATAAAGTAACAAAGTCAAATTGTAATGTCAGATGTCACTATGTTCTGTTTAAAATTCTCAGGAAAACAAAACAACCCTCAAAGGTACTTGAGGACTTTCACAATTTCTCTGTAGATTACTCAGCAGGTTACATTAGTAAAGGGGAGAAAAGTAAGAATATGTACAAATAGTCACAGATACATTGACTGGGTAATATAAGTTGTTTACATAGTAAAAATAGATCACAAGAACAAGTATCAAACATTGAATTCTACTCCTAAGTCTTTAGATGGAGTATTTATTTCACCTGTTTGTTTTGTTTTGTTTTGTTTTTTTCCCAATGAAGATATCACAGCAGAGTCCTGATTATGGACAGGTAAAAGGCTTTTTTTTTTTTGCAAGCTTTCACTACTACATTAATCTTCATAAGCTTCTTTTCCCCCTTAAAGATTGAAAGTGAATATGAAGAAATTATAAAGCCAACATCAGTTGTGGGTACCTCTTCCTCTTATGCTTCAACCAGCCAGAGGAAGGAAACATCAGTTTCAAGATACAGTGATCATAAAGCCACTTACTCAGCTCTGAGACAAGTTGATACCACTGCTCCAGGAGAGACCGAAGAATTTCCTCCTCCCCCGCCGGATGTACTTAAAACTCCAATAGATGTGACAGCTTTTTCTCAGTCCCCTGAACTCCCAAGCCCTCCTAGAAGACTACCAATCCCCAAAGATGTCTACTCCAAGCAAAGAAATTTGTATGAATTAAATCGTTTATATAAACACATCCATCCTGAGTTAAGAAAAAACTTGGAAAAAGATTATATTAGTGAGGTTTCTGAGATTGTTTCCAGTCAAAAGAACACAGGGAGCTCAGTTTCAGCAGATGTACAACATGCCCGGTATGTTTTTGAAAATACAAACGATAGCTCTCAAAGAGATCTGAACTCTCAAAGAGAATATTTGGAATGGGATGAAATTCTAAAAGGGGAGGTTCAGTCTATGAGATGGATCTTTGAGAATCAGCCATTAGATTCCATCAACAGTGGTTCTCCAGGCGAAAATAACAATGCCAAGGGCATTGCTGATCAAGAAATTATCGCTGGTGGTGATGTGAAGTATACAACATGGATGTTTGAAACTCAACCCATAGATACGCTGGGAGTTCATTCTCCTAGAGGTGGAGTAAATGCTGACAAAATTCCTGAGCTGGCCAGAGGCGATGTCTCCACAGCCCGGTGGATGTTTGAAACAAGGCCATTAGATTCTATGAATAAAATGCTCCAGAATCAAGAAGAATTAGCATCAACTATTACTAAGGACATAACTGGGGGAGATGTAAAGACTGTGAGATACATGTTTGAGACTCAACATCTGGATCAACTTGGACAACTTCATTCAGTAGATGAATTTAATTTACTGCAACTCAGGTCTGAACTTAAAGAAATTAAGGGAAACGTTAAGAGAAGTATAAAATATTTTGAAACCCAACCATTATATGTTATTAGGGATGGGTCAGGTCAAATTCTAGAAATCAAAACTGTTCACAGAGAAGATATTGAAAAGGGGGATGTAAGAACAGCACGTTGGCTGTTTGAAACACAGCCTCTCGACACAATTAGCAAGGACATCACAGAAATTAAAGTTGTCCGAGGGATATCCATGGAAGAAAGTGTCAAAGGTGGGGTGAGTAAAGCAAAGTGGTTATTTGAAACTCAACCTTTGGAAAAAATCAAAGAAGAGTCAGAAGATGTCATCACTGAAAAAGAAACAATCATAGGCACAGATGTCTCCAAAAAGTGTTGGATGTTTGAAACCCAGCCATTAGACGTTCTCAAAGAAACATCTGATGCAAATCCTGTATTAGCTGAAGAGATAATAGGGGGCGATGTACAAACCACCAAGCATCTATTTGAAACACTTCCAATAGAGGCCTTAAAAGATAGTCCTAATGTAGGAAAGCTTCAGAAAATCACCACCTCTGAAGAAGAAAAAGGTGATGTTAGGCACCAAAAATGGATTTTTGAAACCCAACCACTGGAAGAGATTAGAGAAGATAAAAAAGAATACACACGAACTGTGAAGCTTGAAGAAGTTGACAGGGGTGATGTCAGGAATTACACACACATCTTCGAATCAAACAATTTAATTAAATTTGATGCATCACATAAAATAGAAGTGGAAGGAGTCACAAGAGGTGCTGTGGAGTTAAATAAATCTCTCTTTGAGACTATGCCATTGTATGCCATTCAAGATCACCTTGGAAAATACCATCAAGTAAAGACAGTCCAGCAAGAAGAAATCCTAAGAGGTGATGTGCGGAGCTGCAGATGGCTTTTTGAAACAAGACCTATTGACCAGTTTGATGAGAGCCTTCTTAAATTTCAGATAATTAGAGGAATATCTGCACAAGAAATACAGAGTGGAAATGTTAAGTCAGCTAAATGGTTGTTTGAAACCCAACCTCTTGATTCAATTAAATACTTTAGTAATATGGGAGAAACAGAAAATAAATCTGAACAAGCAACAGATACTGTTAAAGGGGATGTCAAAACCTGTAAATGGCTATTTGAAACCCAGCCAATGGACTCTCTTTATGAAAAAGTTTCATTACTGACTGAAAGTGAAGAAATTCATAAGGGAGATGTCAAAACCTGTACATGGCTCTTTGAGACTCAGCCACTTGATACCATAAAAGATAACTTTGAAACAACAGTCACCTTGCAAACTGTAAAACAGGAGGAAATTCAGGGTGGTGATGTTCGTACAGCATGTCTTCTTTTTGAGACAGAAAATTTGGACAGCATACAAGGAGAGGAAGGGAAGGAAACCAAGACTGTAGAGATGGATATCCAACCTGGGGATGTCTCCAGCATGAGGTACAAATTTGAAAATCAATCCTTAGATTCTATAAGTTCCAGTTCAGAGGAAGTTTTGAAAAAGATCAAGACACTAAAAGCTGAAGATATTCAGAAAGGCAATGTCTTAAATTGTAGGTGGCTCTTCGAAAACCATCCAATTGACATGATAAAAGAAAGCCAAGAAAGTGAGGCATTAGTAAAGACAGTGACAGACATCAAAGGTGGGGATGTGAGAAGAGGATGCTTTATCTTTGAGACTTTTTCTTTAGATGAGATTAAAGAAGAGTGTGACCTTATCAGCACCAAGAAAATAAGTACTGAAGAAGTCGTAAAGGGTGATGTAAAAAGCTACACAATGCTTTTTGAAACCCAGCCACTCTATGCAATTCAAGATCGAGAAGGGTATTTTCATGAAGTAACAACAGTTAAAAAAGAAGAGGTAATTCATGGAGATGTACGAGGAACAAGGTGGCTTTTTGAAACAAAACCACTAGACTCAATTAATGAATCACAAACCGTGTATATTATTAAATCTGTTACACAAGAAGACATTCAGAAGGGGGATGTTAGTTCTGTCAGATACAGATTTGAAACACAGCCACTAGATCAAATTTCAGAAGAATCACGTAAAATTGTGTCCACTGTTGACCACATTCAAGGTGGCAATGTGAAGATAAGCAAACAATTTTTTGAGTCTGAAAATTTGGGGATGAACAATTGCGTAAGAACTGTAAGTATCAATGAAATACAAAAAGGCAATGTTAAAACATCTACATGGCTATTTGAAACTCACACTGTAGAAGAATTGAGAGGAGAAGGGTCAGAATATGAAAATATCAAGACAGTTACCCAGGAAGATGTACAGAAGGGAGATGTTAAACAGGCAATATGGCTATTTGAAAACCAAACTTTGGATTCAATTAAAGATGCAGATGAAAGCATCACAAAAATTGCCAAGGAAGAAATCCCAGCTTCCGATGTCAAGACTACCACATGGCTCTTTGAAACAACACCTATTCATGAATTCAATGAAAATAGAGTTGAGAAGGTAGAAATTATTGGCAAGAGCATTAAAGAAACCTTGAAAGAGCTTTACTCTCAAAAAGTGATTGAGGTTCCTGGAATTATCATTGAAGCTGATGAAGTTGGTAACGTCCGAATGGCTAAATATAAGCTAATGAACCAAGCATCTCCCGAGATACAAAAAGAAGAAGTTATCAGGGCTGATCTTGGAAATATAATGATGAACTTACTTTCCAAAAAAGACTGCACCAAAAAAGAGATCATGGTTAGTGAAGAGGAGAAGGGAAATGTTAACTTGACTAAAACTCAGTTGTTAAACAGATCAGCTGAATTTCGTGCTGAAAAAGAGGAGGTAGTAAAAGGTGATGTGCAAGAAGCAATTAAAAAACTGTTCACAGAGGAGAGATCTGCCAAGAAAGGCATTTTAATCCAGGAGGATGAAAGAGGAGACATTAATATGACCATCTATTGTCTTCTTCATGAAAATGCTGGCGATACAGTTAAGCATGAAGAAGTAATAGGAGGTGATGTAAGACGTACCATTCATAATTTGTTGTCTTCCACATCAAACAGCGAAGTATCTGAGAGGGCTAAAATTGATGCCTCTGAGAGAGGAAACGTTCAGTTTTTCACAACGTGCATAGAGACTGGAGCTTTAGAGTATCTCAAACAACTTCAGACAGGGCAACATGAAGCACCAGCAGCTAGGAAGAAAGAAAGAGAAGAAGAAATAATTGGTGTTGATGTGGAGCACACAAAATGGTTGCTAAACAAAAGGCAGTCGCAGGTTGAACGTACTGTGAATGAAACAGACATCATTCCAGGAGATGTGCGTAATACAGCAAAAGTTTTTATGACAGAGTCTCCCAGTACATCTTATAAGACAAACAAAGAAGAAATTATAAAAGGGGACTTGAAATCAACACTAAATTCTCTCAGTCAGGCCGTAAGTGAGACAATAGTGACTAAAACAGAAAAAATAAAAGGCGACATGCAGGCTACGCTCAAGTCACTTAAAGAGTCAACGCAACAATGGAAAGAACCTAATCAACCTGATGCCATCCCTGGTGATATTGATAAAACAATTGAATGCCTTGAAAAGGCTACAAATACAAGGACTGAAATTCTTAAAAAGGAGCTTATACGAGATGATCTTGAAATGACTTTAAGGTCTTTGAAAGAAGCACAAAGAGGTTTCAAAGAGGTAGATAAAGAAGGCAAAATTAAAGAAGATGTTTATGCAGAAACTACAGGATTTTCAGAAAAGCAGGAAACAAAGATTCATAAGGGTGCTGTCCAGAAGGCCAAAGAAAGCATTATTCAGCCAAGGCCAGGGCCACTTGACCAAGATACTCTCTATCAAACTGAAGGTAAATCTCATTATGGAACTTCCACAAAAGAAAGTCATCCAAAAGCCCCCAAATGCACTGTAAAAATTGTCATAGATCGTGAACAAAATAATGATGGGCTTGAGAAAAACCTTAGAAAACTTTCTAATTCATACCATGAAAGTACGAGAAATGTGTTGGAAACAGGTGACAGATTGAATGTCTGGACTGGTACTACCAAAGAACAGCAGCTTAGAGATGTATACATGAGTGGGCAATTAACTTCAACGATGTCCATGAAGGAAAATCTAACAACTAGGGAACCAGAGACAATGAGGCAGCCAAAGAAGGGAGACAGCTCAAAATCTACCCAATCAATTGATAAAACACTTGGAAAGCACCAGATTCAAAGCTGTGAACTGAGAAATGACCATCAGAAGACTGACGCTTTCCATGTAGAGAGTCCTAAAAAGAGCAAAAATATTAAAGTACCAATGGAGATGCAAAGTCCTACATCCAGTAGCTCCAAGCATCCAGTTAACGTGCAAGTTGGAGAAACATCTGAAATTACAAAAGGTTTCCAGAAGCAAACAATGCTAAAGCAAGAAATGCAATATTCTAAAAAGGATATGAAGAAAGATATCATGAACTTTCATCCTTTTCCTGTAGATCAAAACATATCCAATGTAACAGAAGAGAAAATCTCTGAAAAAAGTAGCAATAAATTCAAAGCAACTGACAAAAAGCAGAAAACTGATGTTTATCTGGAAAGCCAGGACTTTTTAATGAAGACAAATACTTCTAAAGACTTAAAAATGGCAATGGAAAAGTCATTTAATCCAGTCAATTTTAACCCTGAGAATAATATGAGAGAAAGTGAATGCTCCCTTCCACCTCCATCTCCTCCTCCTCCTCCACCTTCCAATGCATCATCTGAAATTGAATTTCCTCTTCCTCCTCCACCTCCTTCAATCCTGTTTCCTGAAAAAAATGAATTTCAGCCTCTGCCATCCCCCGAGAAAATAAGGGCTGAATTCAAAAGCTGCCCAAGCCTCCCTCTTCCTTCACCACCAGGAGATGAGAAATCTGAAAGAGAATGTGCATCCGAGTTTCTACCACCTCCACCTCCTCTAACTCCACTTCAAAAATCAGCGCATCTTCTTTCCTCCTCTGTTCCAGAAAAACACAGCAAAACATTCATCCAACAGTATTCTCAAAAAGAAGCCGCAAGCTCTCAGCAAACTTATTCTCATGCTAAAGTCCTAACAAGAAAATCACCACCTCCCACATTGCCCAAGCCTAAATTTCTCAAGCTAAACAAAGATAAAAACAATCAACTTTCTTCTAAAGGTGAAGTGGGAAGCTCCCTATCAAATATGGAATATAAAACTATTCCCTTAAAGCATCAGGAAAGAACAATGGTGACAACTAGCAGGGAGCACATGGACAGCAAGCAGGATATGGTGAGAAAAAGTCTTGATGAAAGAACACAGATATCTATTGATTCTACCAAGTCTCTCGCCCAGACCATTCCAGAAACTTCAGCACTCAAGGGAGAACAGAAAGTACCTCTCATAAAATCTCACTCGTTTCCAGAAAGTTCAAGTCAACAGAGTCCAAAACCTTACATGAGAAAGTTTAAGACACCTTTAATGATTGCAGAAGAAAAATACAGACAACAAAGGGAAGAGCTTGAAAAACAGAGAAAGGAAAGTTCTCGGTACAACACAGTCAAAATAGAAAGCCCAAATCAAAAGATAACAGAGTTGGAAAAGGAAATGCTGTCAGAAAAAACAAACAAGGAAATACCCCCACCCAGAATGGATTCAGAGCTCAGTGTGGGCCAACCTAACCCAGATGCTCAGGTTGCAAGACTGTGCTCTGACAAAGAACTTTCTACAACAACAGCAATGTCAGTCACTACCAATAGACACCAGCATGTTCTAGCAGCCTCTAAAGACAAAAACAACATGAAAAAGGAAGTTTTACAGAGCTCAAAGGATATTAAACAATCTAAATCAGCTTTTGAAATTAACCAGAGTCACCAAGAATATAGTGCACACCAAACACAACAGAAGTGTGTGGAGCAGTTGAACTTGCATCAAAGCAAATCAGCTTCCCCAAGTTTCAAAGTTAAAACCATCAAACTCCAAACTCTAGATCAGACATTGAATAAAGCAGACCAGAGCTTCGAAAGCCATGTGAAACAATCTGTAGTTGATACTCAAACCATTACCAAACAACAGTATCAAGACACTGAGACAACTGAAGCAAACACGGAATATAATAATAAGCAATCTGTGACTGAACGTTTTTATCAACCACCCAAGGAGAAAAGAGTGACAATACAAATGCCTACAGAGTCTGCAGAAAAGAGACATGAAAATAAGTTCAAGATAGTTCCTGAGAAGCAAAGAGAATGTAGGGAATCTGACAGAGAGAAACTTCTAGGGAGTGAATTAAAAAATCATGGATCATCAATAATCAATCCAAAAGAGGAAAAATTCATAGTTGAAAGAAAGCAAGAACATTCGACTAATCAGTCAGCACTAAAGGTAGTCAAGCCAGAGGTTGCTGATGCACATCTAGATTCACAGACTAAGAATTTTCAGCAAAGCTACACACAGACTTTTGAAAGTGGAGTTGAACATAAACAATTGTCCCAGCCGTATTATAGTCTGCAGGAAAAGAAATGTCTCAGAGATAAGGACATACAACAGAAACAAGCCTTTTCCAGTACTAAAGATTCAGGGCAAGAGATTTCACAGAACAAATCTTCATTTTCCTCTGTGAAAGAATCTCAGCAGGGTGATGGAAAATGTGCTGTAAATATATTGGAGTTCTTGAGAAAACGTGAAGAACTACAACAGATTTTGTCTAGAGTAAAACATTTTGAAACAGAGCCAAGTAAAAATGGCCTTAAAACATTTCAGACACTGCTAAATATTACTCCTGCATGGCTGATAAGTGAAGAAAAAAGAGAATATGGAGTTCGCATTGCCACAGAGAATAATTTAGAAAAAGTCAAAGAAGAAGTAACACATATCAAAACTCAAGCAGAGGATATGCTTGCATACTGTGAAAATATAATTCAAACAGTCATGAAAGCCTCCCAAACAGGAAGGCAGGGAAATAAATTTACCACTCTTAATGAAACATCATCAAAAGTTTCTAGTACTAATGCAAGCTGTGGTAAAAAGGTTGAACAGAAAGAAAATAAAATTGTAAAAGAAAAAACATTACACCACCAAGTAGCAACTCACAAGGAAGCAACTGCTAATGATTATGCAAAAACTCATCAAGAAATTAATGCAGAGGATAACAAGAGTTGTCCTCCCTCTTTAAAAAGTCGACCACCATCACCCACTTTTATCACAATTGAGTCTTCTGCCAGACGAACAGAAAACCCTCCTAAAGACGAGCTTTCTCAGTTCCCTGTAAAGGATAGTTGTGTGGAGACCCCACCAAGAAGACCCATATCACATGTGTCTAGAATTCACAGAGCAAACAGCTCGCCCTCTCCACCCAGGAGCCGCTCAGAACAACTTGCCAAGCTCAAAGACACCACTGCAAAATTATCTAGAGGAATCATCCCCTGTACACCAGTAAGCCCAGTTCCAGTTGCAGAGAAGAGGTCAGAGATCATCTTGTCTCCAGCATCGCTTCGTCGTCAAATTAAGATAGAAAGTCGTGATAGAGAGTCTCCGCCTACGATCACAATACCTGTAGGTATAAATCCTGTCAGCAGTGGTTCCTACAGAGAATCCATGAAAGCTCAGGAGGAAGTTAGGAAAGTAGAGAAAAGGGAAACGTATGTTCACCAAGATGGAGTGAATTCCATTAATGGCATAATGCCTGATACTGAAAGTTACGACGCAGTGGAAATCATCCACAAGGTGGAAGCGCCTCTCCTGTCTGAACGTCCCCAGAGATATGAAGCAGCCAATCAGACTGTTCAAATGGCTGAAAATTTTATGAATGACCACAAAAATGACATAAACAAATGGTTCAGAGAATTTGAAGACGGTCCAATTTTTGAAGCAAAATCACAAAGGAGGGTATATGCAAATGGAGATGTAAACCATAACATAAAGCAAGAAAGTCATATGTTTTGTAAGGAGGAATTTGGATCAACATCCTTAGAAAACACTAATTTTACAGACTTTTCTTACAAATATCCTGGAGAGCTCCGAGAACAAAACTCTGTTCAACAACCCAGAGTACACTCTGAAGCAAGGTCTCTAAGTGAACACTTCTCAGGCCTGGATGATTTTGAGAATCAAGTTGTTGGGTCAAAGGTAATATCCTCATCATCACACAGCTCAGAAATTGGCAAATCTGGCTTTGACTTCAAGCATGCCCCACCAACCTATGAAGATGTCATTGCTGGACATATTTTAGATATCTCTGATTCACCTAAAGAACTTAGGAAGAATTTTCAAAAGACATGGCAAGAGAGTGAAAGAGTCTTTAAAAGCCTCTATGCAGCCTCAGATGCTTCTGCAACCGGCATGAGAAGCACCATCCAGGAGGAATCTGCATTTACAACCGGTAAATGAGCTTGAAAAGTGTGAAGGAAGACTAACTCACTTAAAAGCATGTTCTGAACCCAACATGATTTACAGTGGAAATAACCAAATAGAATAACCCAAAACTAACAGCTTCCCCAGTGCACTTCCATCTTCTTTTACTATGCCTGATTTTTCATACTTTCTTTTCACAAAAGCATCTCTTACAGCATGATCCCCTTGTACTATGTGGGAATAATAAAAACTTTTATGTTGATTATTGGAAACTGTATTTGTCAAGGTAAACATAGGATGAGGCAGCAAACAATAATTATTGCAAAAATGTTTAAAATATTATCATTAGGTATGTATTAAATAATATATCACATTACTAATGGTTAAAAAAGTTATTATTTCATACAATTGTTTTAGATGATGCTGGATAACACTCTTTAGCTGGATACTGATGCCCTTTTAAATGCATTATTAAGAGATCACTGAATTAATTTCAGTATAATCTAGTAGTAATTCAAGAAGCAGTTTACATGCCACAATGTGTTTCAGCTTTTTATTTTCTTTTTCCAGTACCAGGAGGCTAACTCAAGGCCTTGCACTTGACGGGCAGGTGTTATACCATTGAGATATATTTCTGCTTTTTTTTCAAGGATTTTTATGCATCTGTATCTGTGATAAGAGTATACATAAAGAATTAGAGTTTTTATATATTTAATTATTATTACTGAATTAGAATTAGATTTTCTAATACTTTCTTACAACTGACTGTTTTACCTTTCTAAAAAGAAATGACAACTTCCATTGACCAGCTGGTCAGAAAGAACAACACATCTTAAAATTTGATTATATTTGTAAGGAAAGAGATTTAAATCATATAAAAAGTATACTTTTTTAGCATCAGAGAACAACTCATTTCATTAAGCCTTCCCTACTTTTTTAATTAGTGAGACTTTGTAATAAATGGATTTGACATAATTAATGTGCATCATTAGTGTACTCAATTCTTTTAGAAACATCGAAAAAAGAGCAAGCTTAAAAATAAAAACTGCAGAAACTAATAATTATGCCTGTATCATATTTGCAACATATGTGTCTAGTTTAGAAGGTTAATATGGTTTCTTAATGTGCTTGCTTCTGGCATAATTAAGCAAAGCTGTCTAATTAATTTCTAATTCTAATTCTTTCAAGATAGCTCAAAGAAAACCAGAAAATACAAAGACTCTGCTGTTGAATACAGAAATGTGACCACACTAAAAAAAAAAAAAAAAAAAAAAAAAAAAAAAAAAAAAAAAAAAAAACACACTATTCATAATCCAGGTCTAACATATGTTTTTCCTTGTTTGTTTTTTTGTACAAAGAACTATGAGCATAATATGAAAGCTTAATTATCCTCACAGGAAACAAGACCTGTGAGATAAGTGAAGTTTCCACATCAATTTGAATCACAATAAAACATTGGTTAGCAGTGTAACCATATAGGGATTAACTCTCACTCAGAAAAACTAGGAAGTTACTGTAGGTACTAAGAGAAGTATGGAAAATAGATGCAAGAACTCAAAAGGCTCTAGAATCTAAAATCATTTAAAAATGTTTCTAAACATTTCAAGATATTCAAATCTTATTATATTATACAAAAGAATTGGTGTCATAGAATTGGTCCTAAATTGTTAAGAAAATAAACACTGTATGATATGATATCCTTGGCTTAAAAAATGTTTGTACTTTAGAAAAATGTGTTCAGAATATTTTAAAAATCTTTGGACAGAGGCATAATCTTAGTATATATGAGAAATTCAATTATCTGTAACAAATGATAAATTTTCTCAGGCCCCAAGGCTGAACTTACTATTGATATTTAACATATTAAAGTGAATGGGTATCTTTTGTTTATCTTTATTTGATGTTAAAATGCCATTTTGTGTAGTGGGTAAATAATAGGGGTATTAGGATAATATTAATCATTGTACCAACTCCTTAATCCTGATGCTAATGTAGGTTGCATCAATCAAAGCAATAGAAAGACAGTAGACATAGAGTTTTTCCACTTTAATTGCCTGGCCAATTAATACTGCTGCTGGTTTTGTCATGTTTTAACAATATGATTGGAAAGAATACCATTTAAGCCTTTGTCAATTTTTATTTTTAGAAACAGCTGCTCCAAGACAAGGAAAAATGTACACTTTGTCAAAAGACAGTTTATCCAATGGAATGCCTAGTAGCAGACAAGCAGAGTTTTCATAAGTTCTGCTTCCGATGCCACCACTGCAACAGTAAACTGAGGTAAAATGTTTTGTGGTTTGTAGAGCAGATATTCAAAGAGCCTGAAGTGTGTGCACATCATCGTGATCCTAGGTAGACGTAAATTTCTCCAGCTTTTGCTGCTGTTATCAGTCCACACAGCTGGACGTGTTCATGTTGCTTAATCAGTTCCTATGACGTTTTCCTTTTGAAATTTTGCTTTCCTAATCAAATCCAGAAGCTGTTCTTTGCTTCCAACATAGAAATCAAGATAACAAAAAACAAGAGTCACCATGCAAATCAGGATTTCTAAGTTAGTATTTTAGTCCAAAGTCTATATTAGATCAGGAGTCTGTCAACTTTTTCTATAAAGGGCCAAGGTAGTAAACATTTCTCACTTTGTAAGTCAGCTTGCTCACTCTTGAGACACAATAATAACACCTACAATTTAAAGGAGAGATTAAACTTGGCTCATATTTTAAGGGATCCCGTCTGTGGTCAGCAGGCAGAAGCTTTATAATTGAATGGTGGAGCATAGGTGCTTAATGTGTAGTGGCTGGTAGATCTGGGGCATGGTGCCATAGAAGGGGCCAGGAATCGTATCTAGCATGGCACGTCTTATCTCCACACCCCACACAGACACACCCGGAAGTGTGCTTCACCAACCTGTTAATCCAGTCACATTGGCATATCAGAATTAAAGATCACTCGGGTCACACTGTTTCTATGAATACTCAGCTTTCTACAAGAGCACCAAAATACTTGCACACAAGTGTGCAGCTGTACATGAGTGGCCTGGCCATGTGCGGATCAAAACTTCAAATGCCAAAACAGGTGTTAGGTTTTAGTTGAAATATGTTTGAGCTAGATTATAGAAGCTTACAAAGAAATTTAGAACACAATCAATGACGTCAGAGGAAAATACTCTTTATTCTCCTATAACAATAGAAGCACACTATCAATACAATTACCAATACACTCATTTTCCAAAACTCTTGAAGTAAATGCATTTAAATGAAGGTGGCATTTCCCTTGGCTATAGATTGAGATGTTGAAATTTATTTTGCTGGATCTAATGTGTACTTCTTAGAATATAGTTTTTCTGGCCTTAATTGACAATGTCAAACAACCCTTATTGCAACATTCTTTTTCCTTGGTTTCCATGACAACACATATCCTGGCTTTTCCTTTTGCTTCTGGATGTTCCTTCTCAGGCACCTGTGTATGTGACTCTTTCTCTGTCCACAAATATCAAATATCATGTTAGGGGTTCTTTAGAAATCTATTATAGGAGTGTATTTTTCTTATTTTTCTATTTTTTCCCATTCACTTCTGACCTGTTATAGTCCCTATGATAATGATTGTGAAATCCCTATCCCTAACCCAGATCTCGCCTCTGTACATCAAATCTCAATAATGAGAATATTTCTCTGATTAGATTTTTCCATAGGTACAGCCAATTCAATATTATTCATTTCCTCTCCTGCACAAAAATTATCTTTGGACTGTATAGGCTAAATGCCACTGTATGAGTAAATGACATTAACTAAGTGACCAATACATGAAGCTATCTTTTAACTTCTTCCCTCTCCTTCATTCTCTACATCCAAGCCATCACCAAGCCCTGTAATTTATTCCTGGCAAATACTTGTACTTTTTTCTCTATTCCCACAGTGCAGCTATTTTTCAAGAAATGATCACCTCTCACCAGGATTCATGTAACAGCCTTTGTGTGTAATTTGTCTCCTATCTCCAGCACTTCTTCCCACCACAGAAAACCTGTCTCAATGCTTTGCTCATAATGTAGTAAAATTATCTTCCTGAAATGTAAAACTGAGGTACTTACCTTCTTAACATCTATAATAACTTCCCCCTTCCCAACAAATCTAAAATGGAATCATGCATTAAAACACAATTCAGGATCTGGTACCTTACTGCTAACACTTCTATCTATTCCTACTTTATCCCATGTACATGTTACTTTTCATGTAGACTGAATTTCTTCAAGCTCCCCCAAATGACTATTTTTGTCTCTCATACATAGCCAGTTAAAAATATCAAGCTACTCCTTGGAGGAATTCCCCTTAACCCTGCTCCATAAATCTATTTAGCTAATGTCCACTCATTCTTCAGACCTCAACTAAGACTATATCTTCCATGAAGCTTAATTTGGTCTCCAGGAATGGGTCAAATGTCCTTCCTAAATGCTCCTACAGCGTCCCCTGTGCTTGCCCCGTCCTTAACATAATCTAATATAATTTCCCTAACATTAATTGTGTTAATATTTTCCTTTCAAACATCTAGTATAGGGCGACATATATTGAGGACCCAAAAATGTTGATTCAAGAACTGTTTGAGATATATATATATATATATATATATATATATATATATATATAAAATAAACTAAAATATAAAGTTCAGTAAATTATTGTAAAATGAGTGTTTTGTAACTACTACCAAGGCCAAGAAATCTAGCTTTGTATGAGCCTCATCCTAATTACAAATGGCTTTCCTCTCTCCCATAAGTAAATAGTTTTCTTCTGTCACTTCCTTGCATATTTATACTTTTGTCTTCAAAGTGTGTTTTCTTAAACAGTATGTTTTAGCCTTGACATTAAATTTGGTATGTATTTAAAATCTTCTTAAATTCATATATTTGTCCTTTATTCTTTTATTTTATTTGTGAAGACCCATGACTTATGACCTGTAGATTGTTGAATTAACAATTAACAATTGCACAATTAACAATTAACAATTGCCAGAATTAACAATTGCACACTCAGTGCAAGTCAGCATGTTCCTTTGTCTTCCGTTTTTCCAAACCATTAGCTAGATCTAGAGCTTTGATTATTTCTTTCCTGAGAATATGTAAGTAGTGTTGGCAAGAGTATAACATAGTACGAACATAACATCTAGTTGTCTTTTGTTCATTGATCACAGCAAATATTAGGACTTAATACTTGAATTTACTTTTTGACATTTGCAAAAATGTGATACTCTAATTTCATAATTTGTTTATCACTTCTTAAAACACTTTTACAAAGAAGTAGTTCCCCTTATCACTTTACTTATGCAATGGCACATTTGGTGGAGGGAAGACAAAATAAATTAATTCTTTCCTTTTATTTACCAATTAATACACTGATTAGTTATTCAGTAGTATAATAAAGTTGTTCTTTATCACTTCCAAAACTTTACTAAATTTTTACTAGTTCATTGGATTCAATCAAACACAATAATTATTACTGAAGCTTAACTTGCCCTCTCCCTGGTCAGCGAGTACCGTTTTTCTTGAGTCCTTTTGACAAAATCCCTAGTAATATTTGAGAACTCCTTTACTATCTGGAAGGCCTAGATACTCCAAGATATCTTTAACATTTTCTGCCCCAGAACCAGATGCTATTTTTACTTGTCTTTAATATCTTTGTTTTTAATTCTTCACATCTCTTTGTTTCTTTTTGAGCACTCAAAATTTCACCTTTATGTTCTTTTATTTTTTCTTTATTTTCCTATGACATTTATTTGTTCTTATGCTTCTCTTACTTTTATTGCTAAAAATCTCTTCCATTTTTTCCTGATTCCTATTTTCTGCTTTCTGAAGTTACATATGAGTTTTTCTAATTCTTTCAGATTTTATCGTAGTCTATCTTAGTTCCTCACTTCTGGCACCACAAGTTAAAAGAAGAAGCATTTATATTTCAGCTCATAGTTTGTAGATGTTCCAGTCCATGGTTAATGGATTACAAGGCGAGTTGGCATGACAGAGGAGCGTGACAGGAGAGAAACAATTCATGGCATAGCAGGCAGAAGGCAGCAAATCACAAGCAACAAGCTTCTCTTTCCTTTTTATCCCAGCCAAGCTACAATCCTTTTGGGTGGTGTTGCCCACACCCAGAGTGGGGCTTCCATTATCCATACCCAGATCTAGACAAAAGTGATTTAGTGGATTTGTCCCATATCACACACCTTTAGTCTCAGCATCACACTCTAGATCCAGCCATCTCCAAAAGTCCATGAGCACATGAGACTTTGGGGGGACATCTATATACAAGACATAACATATTCTAAATGTCCTTTGGTTCATTTTGGAATCCAAGGATAAATTTTTTATCTGTTTTAGAGCCTGTTTTGTGATATGTTTTCATTAATTGCAGGAACAATGCACCTTACTCTTTCATGTTGTCAAAACAACTTAGCCTAAGAATTTACCTCATTTTTATAAATAAAATAGTTTCCCCAGGCTTCAGCAGATGACATTCAGAATGGCTTTTCTGATTTCACAGATATACTTCTATTACTTTTCAAATACTGTTCAAAATAAAATGTGGATAGATCTCTGGGATTTCATGGTCTCTTTTTTCCACTCTCTTGTCTTGATCCAGGTCTTCTGTTTCATATCTGTTGTTAACCTGCTCAGTTTTGATCCCACACTCATTTTTCCTTCTCAGTTTCCTTCTCCAAATGATTGATAGTGAATCGGTTTTGATAGATCAGTCTATAAGGCTCTTCAGTCATTCTTAACATGAGGCATTTGCACATCCTGGCCACTGGAAAGGTGAATAAAATATCCTCCCAGAGTTGGCAGCTATTCTCTGATTTATTCTGATACTTTCAAGAAATACTGACTTGTTCTGTGAACTCAGATGGATCTCTGCAGACCTATCAAGCACCTGTCTTACTCCCTTTACTGTCTCCCATAGAGATGAGACTGTCATGGTGGTCTCATGCCTAATGGTGGTTTGCATTTAGCCCCTTCAGGTTATCTTCTCAGTTTTGTTAAGTGTTACCCATCGGTTCTGCTATCTACCTGATGTATTGGATTTTATGTATACATTCAGAATTAGTCAAAATTATATTCTTTCCCCTAACAAAGGTGATTTTAAATTTATCAAGCATTCTGTTTATTGACCTTCTTGAGGCTCAATGAGAAATAGCATAAACAAACTTTCGGATTAGTTTAAAATCCAGCTAACAAGAAAATGCATGGTGTTTGATTCATGTGCGTGGGCTATTCAAGATTTATTGAAAGTAAAACCATTCACATAAATCATCATTAGCACAGGTTTATTCCTACCATTCTATAATTGCACTTGCATTATAGAATATACCAATATATTATATCAGTAAGTGGCATGTATCATAAAATTGTAAATAGTTCAGGAGATATATCATGAGAAGTATTAGTGATAATTATTATCTGACAGAATTGTTTAATTAGTAGGGTCATTCTGATTGCTAATAAATTAAGTTTATTGAGTCTGAATCATTACTAAAGTAGATAATTTCTTAATTTTCTATGAATTTACAGTAAATATACAGAATGCTAAGTGTTTCTTTTTTTTTTTTTCTTTCTGGCAGTTTGGGAAATTATGTATCACTTCATGGACAAATATACTGCAAACCTCACTTTAAACAACTTTTTAAGTCTAAAGGAAATTATGATGAAGGTTTTGGACACAAACAGGACAGAGATAAACATAATTACAGAAATCAAAGCAGTTCAGGGGACTTTATTCTCAATGAAGAACCATGTGTATGTAAAAGCACTACAGAAAACCCTCTTATACCTGAAGATCTTACAAAATATTTAGATGCTGGTGACACTGAGTGGCAAAGGGATGATCTGAGAAAGTTGGGAGAAAGAAGAAAATTAAATATCATTTGGCCTCCTTCCAGGGAAGTGCCTAAGAAAAACTATTCCTTTGAAGAGGAGCTCAAAATGAGGAAGCCTCAATGGCCACCTGAAATGATTACTCCTCTATCCTCTGAACTTAACACTGAATCACTGTCAGGACAGTTTAAAACTCTGGAAAATAAAGAACCAGACAACATTTCTCTCCTACAATCGTATCTGCTGTCTACCCCTAAGTATCAGAAAATGGATGTTATAGGCATCAAAGAAATGAGAATATATGAAGCCAGAAATGATGACAAGAAGGTAGGAAATACGAATGTGCAAGATAAGCTGAATGAAGCAGAAGATGCAAAGAATAAAAGAATAAGTGGAATGGATCTTAATGACGACAGAAATGTGATTGTGCAGAGTGTTGAAAGGGAGAAAAATGGAAAAACTAATGAACCTGACGGTGCAGAAGTTTTACAGGTTACTAACGCTGATGATGAGCTGGTGCCAGAATATCACAAAGGGAATTTGAATAATAATAACAATAATGTAACAGTCTCGAAACTGAATAATTTCAGGCAGAAGACATCTATTTTAGAGTTTCCTAACCTATTACCACTGTCAAGTGCTACAATCTACACTGCAAGCAAGTACCAAGTTAAAACATTGGGATGTGCATCCAGAAAGTCAGAGTATATTTGAATCTGAAAAAAATGTATTTAAGGGATTACTCCCTGCAGATCTGGAGAAGCAGACTGACAGAGCAACTGCTGGCAGTCCTGCGCAGTCTGCCCAAATCCAGGCTTTGGGGCTTCCTGGTTAAGGGAAGCTCAGTAGCATTCTAACACAACTCTTTTAAACACTAAAGGAATCCATCCAAACAGCAGAAATATACACTTTTCTATTTTTAATGAATATGATCCAACCTGTATTTTATTTTATTTTTTAACTCATTTTTATTAGTCCATGTTTAGAGTCCATCACAATGACGTTCACCTTGGGGATCTGGTACATGTACATAACACATCTTCATTCTTTTCTGATCCTCTTCGGCACCCTTCGCTCCCACTTCCCATCCCCCCTTTCGTCATCACCTTCCCTTTTTCCACAGTGCTATCCCCTTTTATTGTTTCACAATGTGGTGAAGATCACTGACCTACCAAGAAAACTTTTGCCCTACCAAGATCATTTTGAGTGTGATCTATCAGATAGTGTTATATCAACTTTCTAAAAATGCCACGTTTGCATTTAAGAGAATTTGGAAAGGTCACCAAACACTTGGTGTGACGAAACATGAGCAGCCCACGTGGGTGGAAACACACATGTTGCTGCTCAGAGCCTGGAATAATGTGCAGCTCCGCCTCCATTTTCCAGCCTGGAGGACCATCCCGAACTGTCTGTGCGAGAACAGCGAGGCACAGGTCTACGGTGAGATCAGTGAGACCGACCGAAGCATCTCTGGCCATTTGCAGTTCACACTCACCCATGGAGAGATAGGGATGTTCTGTAATAAGACTTTAAGGACTTGAAAATGTTTTGTTGATTTGTAACAATTATAAATCACATGTGTTTCACAAAGTGATATTTGCTGCATTACATTTCATGATTTGTTGTAATTCATTTTAATCTAATTTTATCCTGAATTTAATGAAGTCATGAAATAATATGTCTACATTTTCCTCTCAAACAGCACTGACATGTATCACTGTTTTTCTATGTAACATCGTGGATGTGAGACTCTCTATTACTGCTATTTATTAAAATTCTTATACCTTCTATAAAAATTTCTGCTGAAATAAAATCAAATCATCTGATATACAAACTAATATATTTCTGTAATTTTTTTTCAATTACAAATTGTCATCCTAAGTGTTGTGTTTTCAAACCATTAAGAAATATTTGTTCTAGCACAGGTATTTATCTACTTTACCTCCCCCACACACACATATATCTAAATAATCTTGGGAACTATAAAACCAAAAATACAAACCAAAACCACACAGGATTAATAGGAGCTATAAATATTGCGATCCTTTTTGGCTCTATGTTTTAAAGATATGACAGTTATTATAACTCTTTAAATAATTACCCATATTAAACTATCATAGATTGTCTCTCTAAGCACTTAATAAAAAATATCAATTTTCTCCCAGAATAATGGGGAGTCCATAATCAGAAATAAGCAAAGAAAAAGAAAAGATTTTAGAGGACAGTTAAATATATTAGGCACATTGTGATTTCATTTCTTACTATATGAAATTGATTACTATAAAATCATATCAGTGAAGTTTTTCAGGCTTTTTAGAATCATATTTTTTGACATTATTTTTCTGTTACAAAAGAACATTCTTTTGAAAATTTGGCTTCTAAATTATCTTCTGCTTTTACCTTTCCTCAAATACATTTAATGATTGAGAAAGAAAAACTGATAACATGAATATAAATGAGTGACTTATTATAAATTTGGATAGTGCACATATGAAACAGAACTTATCTCATATTCTCCAACACAAATACAAACCATTGACTTTCTATAAATACAAAACCAAAATGCAGTGTTGAAAACTACTTCTTTTAAGAAAGTATAACACATTCTGTCTTGTGAGTTACTGTGCTTCAACAGACATGTAAGACTTACACTGCATTGATTCACTAAGGTTGCCACAGCTGAACACCAGAGACTGGGCAGCTTCAACAACAAAAGTTTGTGTTCTCTGGGAAGGGTGGAGGCAGAGTTGTTTCTGTCAGAGGACTATCCTCTTGTCTTTCAGGCAGCTGTCTTCTCTTGTGGTCCTCATGTGCTCTTTCTTCTATGCACTCCATCCCTGGTTTCTCGTCTTCTTGAAAGGACATGAGCTCTATGGATTACGGATCATGCTCCTAACTTCATTGAATGTTGGTTATTGTTAGTTATTTCCTAATAGATTGGTGTTGGTACTTCAACGTAAGAGTTTTTCAGGGGTACAATTCCATTTGTAACACACATTTTATCCATTTTAATCAAATAATGTGAAAGGATGCCAAGAAAATGGCAAGCCATGGGACACTAACAGCATTTTTTTAATTTAAGTTGAATTATTACACCTTGCACTGCTCTGTATCTTAATGACTCGACGTTATTTCCCCAATCATTTATGCTAAGGTAACACAAATTTCTATAAAGGAAGAAATAATTTATGAAAACTCATGACATGATATTCTAAATTATGGTTTCTTAGTACAAGTGATCCTTTTACAAAAGTACCTCTTGTTTTCCAAAATCTTCTACTGGGACCCTGTTCACTTAATCTTGTAGTCCAGTCCTAGTCAACTCTGTCAGAATTTGGCTTGAAAATAAACTGACACCTCCATCAAGGAAAAATGAATGCCAATTATTCCTCTGTTCACTTTCATTTAAACAGAAAAGTAGTTTTAAAAATTAGAAACATTTTTCATAATTGTTGGCTGTGTCATCTTTATTAGACATGTAGTAGTTTATAAAAATTCGAGTACACTTTAAAAATCCAAATGTAGTTTTATTTACTAATAGTTTCACTCTAATTATGACGTCTTTCATCTAAATAGCCAGCTTTGAGGACTATACCTAAAAACACAAAAAAATTCAGCAAGATATCTTATTCTTGCAGGCAGTATATTATTTTGCAGGAGCTGTCATAATAAAGCACTACTGAGTGACTAAAGTAAGAAAAAATTATTTTTCCTCCATTCTGAAGGTTAAAAAAGCCAAAATTCAAAGTGTCAACAAGTTTGCTCTCTCCCTTGCTTATCTTTTCTCTGTGTTTGCATATGTTCTTCCCTCTGTATGTGTTCATATCCAATTTTCTTCTTGTAATGACACCACCCATAGCAGATTACCACCAAACTCAGTGACCTCACTTTTTTTATAATTGCCCTTTAAAGATGCCTTCTCCACATGGAATCATAATGAGGCATCCTGGCTGGGACTCCAACATAGGAATCTCAGGAAGGTGTAATTCAACTCTTCTATACAGCAACCACATTTAATTTTTAGTTTTCTAAACATGTGGCTATTAATATTATGAAATGACCTCCCAATAATTTTTCACTTGAAATTTATATCAAATAACTCTGTAATATGTGCATTAATGCTGCAAAATGAATGTTTCTAGAAGCACTATTCTATTACAAAGACATCCAGATGGGCTCCTGATAGACTAAATGCTGTACTACAGAAAACTCCATGGAGGCAGACTTTGGCATGTAGGAGCTTTTACATTATTTATTCAATGCTAGGCCTTCCAATGGGTTTTGTAAAATGTATTCCATCTCCAAGCATATTGTACTGAATTGTCTTGTGAAGCTTCCACACAATCACTCGTTGTGATGGATTTGGGGCTCGAGGCAACATGTTCTATGGATTGGCTATGGTTTACCCTCAGTCCCACCCATTCCCAAATGTTCAACCAGCATATGAATATGATGTTTTTCCCAAATGTTCAACTAGTGTATGCCTATGATGCATTTTCCCCTAAACCAATAATTTTCTGTAAACATCTCTAACTTCTAAAGACATTAATTTTTCAAAGAACTGGAAGGTTAAAAAATGCATATTTTGCTATATTTTGATAGTGATGACTGACTACTATCCAATCGAAGAATAGGGAATATTTTCCATGGCTAAGAAAATGAATTTCAAAATAATAGTTACAGATGTTGAAGTAAAAGAGAAATGCAGGTTAATTTTTTCTTCTCTTTTTTTCCTCTCTGCAAATGTTGCTGAGAACCACTAGAGGTTTTCAAATATAAAATTTTTGAGGTCTTCAGATATTAACAGTGATATGAAATCTCATCTCCAAAAAAAAACTTACATGGAGATAAGAAATAAGCTAGAGAAGTAATACCCACATTCAAAATAAAAGTTATAAGAATATTTGAGAATTACTAAAGAGAGTTGAACCTCAGCCCCCTGAAAATTAACTCTAGAAGAAGACAAATATTTTTGCATGAGTAGAATCTAAAAATAATTTAACTTCAGTATTGATAACTACTTTGTAAAAACTAGTATAGCCACCTAACTACATCTATTTGGCATACATGTTTTACCCTTAAAAATAATGAGAAATAGTAAGACTTAAAAATGTTTACATGTAAATGAAAGAGTAGGGAGAAAAGAATGCATACAGAATGGTCATTATCTTTTAATACAGGACCTTCTATAGAAAGTAAAACCAATGGAAAATGAACAGAAAATTTGACAAACATCACCTAGTTTATCACCCTTAATAGCCATCACTTACTCACTGATGTGTGCATGTGCGTGTGTGTGTGTGTGTGTGCTCACGCATGCACGCGCACACAGAGTAAATAAATCTGCTATCTTATGCTATGGGTAAGTCATGCTGTCTCCCACACAGAGCTCTCAGACTAGAAACAGTCATTCAGAATGTAAAATAATCAATTAGTGTTACATGTGGATGTAAGAAACCCAGGACAATGTACCTCCACAAAGTTTTGCTAAATTAGAATGCCGCAGAATAATAGCAAAAGGATAGAAATGTGTTTTAGGTTTGATAACGTCTTTCTTTTCTCATAATGTACTTAGTTGTAATTTTTTGTTTGTGAAGTTTGTGGTACACACCCAAGATTCCCCTTCCAGAAGTACATTCACAATTGCTAGGATCATTGCCCACAGAAAACCTTTAACTGTCAGCCCCCAGCCGCCTCTCTAAAATGAACTGTATGCAATTTGTGATCAATGAAAGGGAAAATCAGCACAAATCTTAAGGCTCACTCCAGGTCAATTCTTTGTAGGGTTGGCCAAGGATTCCCTTAAGATGGCAAGTAAGCTCAACTTCAGTTCAATTCCTGTGTGTTTTCTATTCCCTTGGTATCAACAGTCACAGCCTAATAAGCCCCCTTGTTAACTTTAGCTCACAACCACCATTAGGATGAACTCAACCTGGACCAACTGATATTAGTATAAATCTTATCTGCCCAAGAAAGCAGACACCATGATGCTATTTTGGAGCTGAATTCTTTTCTGCCTGGCTGACAATGGGCACAAGGTGGCAGTGCAATTGTTAAAATTCTGAGCACCGGTACACTAAGATGCTTCATTAACTGAGGCAAATGCCTAGTTTGGTGGCATGTATCAAACATTTGAGGCATAAAAAGAAATAACAATTGCAATGAAAATCAAAATGTAGTGACTAGCAAAGCTATTGTTCTGGAGAAAAATGAACAAAAAGCTGAGCATGATTAATCAACAGTTAAAAAAACTGGGGACAATTTCACTGTAAGAGTAAATGAATCCCACAGAAACATAGAATGTTTTACCGAGATTAGGCACTATGTAGGGGTGAGTTTTACTCTTCTACAACCAGTAATATATTCTAAACATGCTTCTCAAAGTAGTAGCAAAAATAAGGGGAAAGAAGAAGAGATAGTCTAGACTTATAATTGGCACACTACTTACTGCTCCCTCATTCTGACAATGTCAGCAAGTCCTAATCAAAGAATCAAAATAGGCAGATAAATGATGCATGAGATAGAAAGTGTGGCAGGTTAACTAACGGTCAACTTGTAACACCCAGATGAACTGAGTTAGTGTGACTCTGGGTACGAATGGCCCACCTAAGGATTGTGGCCAACAGCATAAAAGCAGAACTGGGAGGGGAAAATGATATACTTTTGATTCTCCTGGAGAAGTTTTTTGTACCAGTTTCCTGATATGAACTCAGCTGTTCTTTTCATTGGAGGAGCTTGAGTCCTCACTGTCACTGAGGATGGCTGCAGTTCTCTTCAGGGGAGACTGGTCCTTACCTTGAGTGTCACTTCCTGGAACCAGTGTAGATCCCTCAGCCCA